CGACCTCCCCACCAGCACGCGGCAACTGCCCGCGGTTGACGAGCTCATCCACTTCGACGACGTGCACGCCGCGGCACTCCACCAGAGAAGTCTCGGCACGCCGGTTCCCAGAGCTGGCCATCGACCCTCGGCTCCACGGCGGCCTCCCGCGGTTTGACTCCAACGGCGAGTACCTGGGGCCATTGCCGCCACCACCGACAGGTCTCGACTCCCTGCGGTGGAGGAGCGACGCCACGTTCAAGACCACGGGCACCGACCGCGGCGTGGCCCCCGCAGCTGCGTGAGTCGGTGGCACAGGACGTCAGCAGTCTGGCCGAGCGGAGCACCGCCCAGCGGGGGGGGGATCTCACCTGGAGCCGCTCGGCGGACGCTCACGCGTCGAAGGCCGAGCATCCAGGAGCACCGAAAGGGCCCGCCGCCCCTTTGGAGTTGGAGAGCGGTCCACTCGGCGAAGGCGAAATCTACATCGTAAGGGGAACGCCAAGGTCCCGCCGAGCGGGTGGGGCAGCTCAAGCGCCACGGCGGGAAGAGCGCCGTCGCGGCCTTCGCGGGGTGGCTCCAGGCGCGGCCAGGCCCGATCGAGGCGCTTTCGGAGCTCGCGCTAGGCGGGGGACCCAGAAACAGACTTCATCAAGCGAGCTGGAGACGGGAGTCACGGCGGGCATCTTGCACAATGCCTCGGCAGGAGGCGCTCTTCGAGGAACTAATGAAGTGGCGCCTCGACCAGGAGGCGGCCAACTGGGCCGCCCCAGAAAACGGCGAACTACTGCGGCAGCGAAAGGGCCCACAGCGACCAGGAACATCTCGCGGAAGAGGTGAAGTCGCGCAGGATGGTCAAGATTCCTAGTGGGCAGTTAAGCCGCCGCTTCCACGGCACCGCTTCCACGGCGCTTGCGCCATGGCAGCGTTGGCGGTCTTGGGGGGCGCGACTGGCAAGACACTTGCGCACGACAGCGCGCGCGAGGTCGCCGTGAAGAATTGGATCCGACGCAGCAGCCGCCAGAGGATGCCGAGGCCCGCGGAGAAGAAGACTTACCACCTGAGCCATTACAGGGACAGGCGCGAAGTCCTCTTCTCGCTCGTCACCGACGTGAAGGCTGCGCATCGCGCATCGGCTCATCAAGATCCGCGACGACAAATCGGGCATGCTGGCCTGCGAGTTCGAAGGCGGGAGCTGCGGCAACACCGTCGACACCTTCGGCATCTCCAGCGCCTCGGCGTGGTGGGCCAGGATGTTCGGCGCCGCGCCGCGGGCGATCTGCAGCCTGCCGGGCAACGCCTGGCCAGTGGAGCAGCTTGCCTACGCCGACGACCTGGCGGCGATCGGCGCCGGGCGACGCGGGGGGCTGGCCGCCCTCTTCATGGCGGTCGTCTTCATTGGCATCTTCGGCTTCTTGGTGCGGATGGCCAAGTCGCGAGGCGGCCTCAAACTGGGTTGGATCGGCCCCCCACGCAACATGGGCCTCTCAGAGGCGAGGGCGGGGCGGCTGGCCGCCTGAGGCTTGGAGACAGTCGTGCGCAGCACCGTCCACGTGAGCGAGAAGGCTTTGGGCGCCTGGGCTTCGTGGCGATGGCCCGCGCCTGGGAGAGGCTGCTCGCGGGGCCTGCGTGCGCCCGGGTCGCCGGCGTCGAGAGGGCCAGCAAGAGGAGGGCCTCATTGCCTTGGGCCGTCAAGCTCGTGCCGGCGCGGGTCAGCAGGCGACTTGCTGGCGGAGAAAGGTCCGAGCAGTTCATCGCGCTCGAGATAGAGCGCCGGACACATCTGTTCGGGCGCGAAGGAAGATGCATTGCGGTGCGAGGCGATCGGCTGGGAGGCACCGCCGGACGGTGGCGCCAGAGGAGCTCGCCAGCACGCGATTGAGGTGGAGCGGGCCTGCCAAGGCAGACCATCCGATGAGGGCCATCGCAGCGCTTGAGCTCCTCGGCGCGATCCTCAGCGCGAAGCCCTTCTCGAGGCTTGGGATTTCCCGCCAGCAGGCGAAACTCACGAGGACGGGGTCGACGGACAAGGGGAGCTGCTACGCGGCGTCCACGGCCATGTCGACAAGGAGGCTGCTCGCGCCCCCCCCTCGAGCTCTCGGAGGAATTGAGATCGCGCGGGGTGGCGCTGGGCCTGGGCCGGATGCCTCGCGACGAGAACTAGTAGTCGTCTGATCAAAAGGAAGACGACGAGCTTTGACGAGACCTCCAGGGTCCGCGCGGTGCCCGCGGAGCTGAAGTGGCACGTCATGGATGAGATGTTTGTTTGCGGCCTCGCAGCCGCTCTCCGTCGCGATCGCCGAGGGGCGGTCGGCCTGCGCCGGGGGGGCGGCCGCCGCGCGAGGCGGTCCCGGGAGACGCGCGCGCCCCGCGCGGCTGGAGACACTGGAGCCCCGGTGACGGCCCTGATTGATTAATCGAGACCGCGCCCTCGCAACCCTGCCCGAGCGCTGGCGCGATCGGCGGCGGCGGCGGCGCTTAAAGAGAGAGAGAGAGAGAGAGAGAGAGAGGGAGAGAAAGAGAGAGAGAGAGAGACTGGGGGAAAGGGAGAGACAGAAGGAGAGAAAGAGGAAGAGAGAAAGAGAGATAAAACAAAAGAGGGCGAAAGAAGGAGAGAGAAAGAGAGAGGGAGAGAGAGAGAGAGAGAAAACATATAAAAAGAGAGAAAGAGAGAAATAAAGAAAGAGAGAACGAGAGAGAGAGAGAGAGAAACAAGAGGGGAGATGGAGAAAGAGAGAGAGAGAGAGAGAGAGAGAGAAAAAAAAAACAAAACAAATAACGGGGTGAGGTGGGCCTCCGCGCTCGCCCCAGGCGCCCCCGACTTGCCGCGCTTGCCCGCCCGGGGCGGGCGGCCCGCGGGGGTCGGGCAAAGGAGGGGCGCCCGGGACGGAGGACGGGTCCACTGAGGTTTGTTCTGCTCCTGCGGTGTCCGGGGGGGGGGGGGCGGGGTCCTCGCCCTCACCTTCGGGCCTCTTCCTCTGCTCGATGCGCCCCCCATCGCTTGGGAGGGCCATCGTCTCGGGAGTTGGAAGGGGGTTGCCCGCGGGCCTCTTTGCGACCACCGCCCATGAAAAAGCGGCGTCGCCATCGCCATCATCATCTCGCCTTCGCACCGCCATTCATGGATCATCGAAGACATGTCACCGTAACCTAACACATAGGTGCATCCCTTTAAAACTTTCGACGCCTGTTGCCATTCTGACTCAGGCGTTCGGCCGCTTTTGGGGCCCACCCTCAGCACCCCTGAAGTCAAGTTTGCGGGAGTGGTGCGGGCTGTGCGCAGCCTTCCGGCAACCACCACCCATGAAACGGGCATCGCCGTCACCATCATCATACCGCTTTTCTCACCGCCATGTAAGGATCACTTATATATATATATATATATATATATATATATATATGTACATGTATATATAGTATATATTACATATATATATACACACAAGAATGCATTGGCGCTTCGCGCCATGCGCCTTGTTCTGGACGCTTCCCTGGCAAAGCAGTCGATCATCGCTTGCTTCAGCAAGGAGGACCTCGAGGCCTGGACGGGTGACCCGCCCATTTTGTCGATATCCCTGGTGCCTGCTGACACCGCCTTCGGACGATGCGTTTGCACGTTTGTGCGCAGGAATGGGGAAATAATGCTGTTTTTTTTCACGCGCGAAGGTCCTTTGAGGAAGTAAGGAGCGTTCCCATGACACGCCGCAAAAAAGTCACTGTAGCTCCGCACCAACCGATGTTTGGTAGTTTCCTGAATGCCTGGAGGGCTCCAGACACGCAGGACATCGCCGAACTTCGAATCTAGATTCACTGCCTGTCTCTGTCGATCGGGGAACTATTGAAACCTCGAGCCTCAAGCGTGGAACCAAGATCGTCGCGTCAGCTTGATGTATTTCGTCGGAAAACGCCGCCTGGTCGTTTTTGGCGCTCTTTTGAGCCGTCCTGGGGCAGTCTTGGGCCGTCCTGGGGGCTTTTTGGGCCGTCGTGGGGAACCGGGGCCCTCCAAAGGTTTCCTGAAACCATATAGGGCCTTCTTGCGGGCCTCCAGTGGCCATCTTGGAGGTATCCCATGGTTTTCGTCGGGGAGCCTTCTGGAGGCATCTTGGGCTTCTTGTGGGCAGTCTCGGGGTTCTCTGGGGTAGTCTTGGGGCCCTCTCGGGCCGTCTTCAAACCCTCTAGGGGGCCTCCTGGGCCGTCATGGGGCGAGATCGGGGGCCGATTGGGCCGTTTAGGACGCTGCGAAGACCCAAGAAGCGGATATGCAAAACAAGTGTATTTCATGTGGGAATGTGACGATATGGGCTTCTTCGGGGCTCTTTTGATTGGCTTTTGGGGTGTCTTGGGGGCCTCTTGGGCCGTCTTCAGACCATCGAGGTTCCTCTTGGAGCGTTCTTGTGCGGTTTTGGGTCTCCCTTGCGCCTCTCCGACGACCCCTCTGATCGCCTTCGGTCGGCTCGCAAGGCCCAGCGAGGCGCCCTGGGAGGCCCAGAAGGGCCACCGAACCTTTTCCGACGGCGTCCAGGGGGCCGCCGAGACGTCCGAAAGGGCGTCCAGAGCGTCCCTGGGGGGGGGGTCTGGTTTCGGGGGGGTGGGGTGGGGGTCCAGGCAATAAGAACATTAGAATAGGAGTGCACGTATGTATGTACGTATGTATGTATGTATGTCTGTATGAATGTATGTATGTATGTATGTATGTATGTATGTATGTATGTATGTATGCATGCATGCATGCATGTATGTATGTATGTATGTATGTATGTATGTATACACTCACATATATGTATGTATACACACATATATATATAATTTTAGAAATGGAATGAGGGAAGCAGCTGCTATATCTGTATATAGAAAGAAATAGAAGAGAGAGGGAGAGAGGGAGAGCGATATAACGAGTGTGATCGAGAGAGGCAGGCAGGCACGCAGGCACGCAGGCAGGCAGGCAGGCAGGCAGGCAGGCAGACCGACATACAGACAAAACACGCGAGCTGTCATAGGGCCAGGAGCAGAGCTTCGGAAAGGGGAGGACATGGAATCGGTGTCGTCCCTCGCGTCCCTGGAGTCCGAAGTGAAGCACTTGGATGAGGCCGCGGAGATCTCTGCTCGTGAGTCCTCTCCTGCTCCTTGTCTTTCTCCCTCTTCCCATCCTGCTCCCCCTCCGCCCCCCCTCCCTGTTTTCCCTCATCCCTTTGCTGCCTTCCTTCGTGTCATCATCCCGTCCCTCTCTCCTTGCACCCCCCTTCCCTCCTCCCCTCCCTCTCTTGCCTCCCTCTCCTCCCCTCCTCTCTCCTCCTCCGTCTCCTGAGGCCTCCGAATCCGTGGTCGAAGCCACGGCCAGCGGCAGGATCATCGCGCGGCACATGCTGGACCGCCGGGGTCGTTTTCTCTTGCGCGTCGTCTTCGGCAAGGCAGCGGTGCCAGCAGCACCCGGCCGGTTCTGCCCCTGCCCCCCACAACGTGAGATCGGAGAAGGGGGAGGAGGGGTGGAGGAGGAGGCTGGGGGATTGTGGAGTCGCTCTGTGCTCCAGAGGGATGTTTCACTCCGCTCTCTTCTCTCAATCCTGACCTCTCTCTCTCTCTCTTTCTTTGTTTCCTCACCTTCGTAAGCTATGCTATCGAAGACGCCTACGGCGAATCACCGCCGCCCCCTTCCTTTTTGGAAGCGCCTGCGTAGCCGAAAGTTGAGTTTGAGCTTGGCCAAGCTATCGGGTCACGCGTTCCCCGAGTGGGTTTCGAAAGCCTTCGGGGAACACGGAGTCGGGCGCGAATTCGGACCAGGTGGTTTCCGAGCTTTCGGGCTTCCCGGAGGACGTCTTGGAGGGGTCTTGGGCCGTCTTGGAGGCCTTTGGCGGGCTTTTGGGGCAGTCTAAGGCCATCTTCAGGCCGTCTGGGGCCGTCTTGGGTGCATCTTGGGGCCATCTTCGCCGTCTTGGAGGCCTTCTTGGCCGTCTTGGAGGCATCTTGGAGGCCATCTTGGCCGTCTTAGAGGCCGTCTTGGAGGTCATCTTGGCAGTCTTGAGGTATCTTGGAGACCATCTTGGCCGTTTTTGAAACCTCTTGGGCCGTCTTGGGGCCTTCTTGGGGCTGGCTTGATGGCCTCTTGGGCCGTTCTGGAGCCATCTGGGAGGCCTCTGGGACTAGTTTGGGGACTCCTTGGGCCGTCTTAGGCGGTCGGAACACCAAAACCAAGGAAAAACATGTTTTTCAAACACACAAGGAACATTGAAGATGTCGGCTCCGTCGGGCCTTCCTGGAGCACCTCTTGGACTCCTCTGGGGTAATCTTGGACGGAGTGCATCGCCAATGGCATGTGCTCCTGGTGCGAAATGGCTCGCGAGACCAGAATCGTGCTTGGCTTTGTTCGGCCCATGCCCAGATCGACTCGGACCACATACGCTGATCCCAGCACCTCGAGATGGCTGATCAGCTCCAGCATGAGCGTAGCGCGTTCTGGACCCGTGGTCTTTCCCCACTTGCAGCAGACGTTGCAAACCTGCTGCCTCTTTGGTGTTCGACAAACGTGGGATATGTTCGATGGGACGTCGGGTGCAAGTGGGCCGACATGGCCTCGATGGTTCTGGGGGCAAGTGGGTGCTCGACTGAAGACTCAGGCGTTGTGGATGGGCGGTGGTTTGTTTGGTTGGGGCTGGTGTGCATGAGGAGCTGCGGCGTGGTGCGATCCTTCATGGGTACCCTTCCGACCGAGACGCAGTTCAGTCCCAGGGCCGAGCTATTCGCACTCCGTATGCTGCTTACTTATACTGGGGGTGCTGCCGCTGCTGCTTACTATGACGATCTACCTCTAGTTAGGGGCCTCAGGAGGGATAGGTCCCACATCGCCCAGGCCTCCCCCATGCTGGACTTGTGGATCCATTCCTGGGACCTCCTGGACAATCGTGCTGGGCGTACGGAGCTCCTTTGGACACAGGCCCACTCTGCGGCGGCGTCCCGTGATCCCTGGGGAATTTCTGAACCCGATATTGTTTTGAATAATGTCGCGGATCGTTTCATAGTGAAAGCCGCCGCCACAGCTGAGCTTCTTCAGGAGCAGGTTGCAGTGCTCCAAGCAGTTGATGAGATAGCCGGGAGGGTTCCCCGTCGGCTTCTGAAATGAATTCGTGAAGGCAGTTTAATTTGCAAGTGTCTGGTGGAAGATAAGGTCGGGCGGTCTCCTCCTCGCCGCAGGGCCCTTCCATCCCACACTATCAGGAAGCCATGGCTCGAGACAGTTGGACATCTTGTACATCTGGTAGACATTACAAGTCGTGCGTGTTGTGCCGCAGCTTCTTTGAGGCCACACGCGGCAAGTTTTATGATGTGTTTCCTGGCCGATGCTTGGGGGCGCGAGGGAGGATACCCTTGGTCGGGCGTGAAGCTGGAATTGTGCACCCTGAGGCTCCTCGCGCTCACTCATCCCATGACCTCGATGGTTGATGTTTTGCGTGGCGTCCTGTACGGTCGGGTTTGCGGGAGATCCATGACTCAGAACTTCCAGCTCCTCGCCGAGGCTTGCCCGCCAGGAGGCAAGCCCACGAAGGCAGACGCCAGTGTGCTTTCGTGCATCCGACGAGGCCTCCCGCAAAAGTGTGGCATGCCACTTCCTGATCAATGATGCCGTGCAGCATGGGCTGCTATGTGGTGCAAGCGCTCCGGCCTGATCAGAGGTCCCAGACCTCCATCGTCGGGTTCTCCTGGCGAACATCAGCTCCTGAGGAGTGTGTCTTGGAACGTGTGAGTCCGAATCATCGGTTTCACCGTGTTGTGTCTGTTTCGCCTCCGACGAGACCTCCCGCCAAAGTGTTGCATGTCATCTCCTGGTGAATGATGTCGTATATCATGGACTGCTATGTAAAGCAGCGCCCCAGCCTGACCAAGTATATCACTGCTTCCTCCTTCCGTCTCTTCCTGTTCCCTTCATGAGGCGCTCTGGGCTTTTTTGGGGCTGTATGTGGTGATCTCCTAGGCGATCTTGGGTCCTTCTGGGGCGCTCTTGGAGCCCTGCTCGTGGCTCAGATGCCGTATGAAGGACTACTGGGGTCTCTTGAGGAGCATTTTTGGAGTTTTTTGGGGCTTCCTGGAACCTCTTCGGGACCTCTGGAGGCATCTTGAAAAGCTCTCGGGGACAAGTTGGGGAGCTGGGCCCAGCTTGGAGGGGAGGCTTCCAGCGGTCCAGCGATGGCGCGCGTTTTTGGGCCCCTCTTGGTGCAGGCCTTGGACGCCTCAGCAGCTTTCACGTGGCGTTCTTGGGGGCCTCTTGGGCTGTCATATGGTCTGGAACTTTGGGCTCGCGTGTCTCGCCGCCGCCTCTGACCCTCCGCGCCTCGGTGCGACACGCTGTCCACTTCCGTCCCCAGGCGTCCATGCCCCCCGCCCCGCCAAGCGGAGCGGCACGCTCCCCGCTGGCAGGGCACATGATGTCTCCAGGGCCGCCGCGGCGACACGCTATCCAAAAGTTCCTGACCGTAGACAGAAACCGCAACATTTCAAAATCGTGCAACAACAAGTTGTCGTTCAATGCTGTTGGCGTTCCGGGCCCGTCCCCATTGCCAGGATGGCCCAAGAAGCCCCCAAAGGGGGCCCCGAGACGGGCATCTGGGACCATCTTATGGCATGTTGGAGGTTGCGATTCCGAAGTGTGCTTCCGAAGCCTCGTGAAAGGTCATGCGGGGCACCCAAAGGGCGCCCAGAAGCGCCCGTGAGTCGGGGACCTTTCCTTTCACGAGTATTCGCCACACCCAGAGCGCATCGACTGAGGGCTCTAAAAAGACCCGAGGACACTCCACTCCGTGCCCACGGCACGGTGGCGAGCTCTGGCGCTCCTTTGCACGATTTCCGACGGACGGGGCGGCCTTGCTCGAGTCCCGGTCAGGAGCGCGCGTCGCCGGCGCCACAGCCGCCTGGCCAGAGCGTGGAGGACCAGCGGCCGCCGCGGCCGGCCATCGCCGCTCGCCGCCTGCCGCCGCCTCGCCGCCGGCCGTTGCTCGCCGCTGGCCAGCGCCGCCGGCCCGCACCGCCGCCTCTCGCCGCCCTGACGGCACCCCCGCGAGACCCCGCCCTGGCGCTCGGAGAAGAAAGCCATGTAGTGCAGTGCCAGGGAGGTTCGTTTTTGCCCCTGCTTCTGACGTGTTGTTGCGGCATGCGTTCGCGGCTCCAACTTTTTGTGCGCTGGCTGGAGTCTCCCAGAGCTTCGTGGAGCCACCGTGCTCAGAGTGCCAGCGACAGCGGATTGAGCTCCATCTTGTGCAGCGCGTTGCATTGTCACCGCTTCCATTCTGACAGCGCCCGTTTCGCCAGCTCCACGATCGGTTGGTTGGCCGGTTGGTTGGTTGGTTGATTGGTTGGCGGGCTATCATGTCAAGCTGGCTGCATCGTTGATTGGCTCGTTGTCTGGCTGTTTGGCTGGAACCAGGCTGGTTGATTGGTCACCACCCACCAAACCACCCCAACCCAACCCGAAGGCTCAGATTTACCCTCGATTTCCAGTGGGGGGGGGGTCGGGACACATCGAAAAAACACGTGTGGAACCCTTACCCCCCCCCCAACCCGAAATTCGGGTCTTCGGGTTGGGTTGGGGTGGTCTGGTAGGTCGTCAGATTGGTGTGTTGGTTGGCGGGGTTGTCCGTGGGCTGACCCGATCGATGGCAGGTCGGTTGGCGGCCTGACTCGCGGGCCGATGCGTTCATGAGTTGGTTCCTCTGCCGCATCGAGACCGGCAGGGCCTCTGGGGAGTGTGGAGGGGTTGGGGGGCAGGAGGGGAATGCTACCATAGAGAAAGGGAGAGAGAGAGAGAGACAGAGACAGAGAAAAGGGAGAGAGAGTGAGAGAGAGAGAGAGCAAACAAAGAGCGATACACATAGAAAGCAAAAAAGGGGGAGCGCCCACCAGAGGACCCCGTCCCATGCTCATCCTCATACTCCCTCGCGTTGCCACTTCCAGTACTGCCACAGCGGCCCGCCCGTGGCAAGATGCAGGGCTCACGGAAGGCCACCAAGATGCAGCAGGCAACCCGGTTCTAATTGATGGGAATTCGGACCCCTCGGCGCCTCGAGGCGCCCCTGCGGTTGCTGCCGATACTGTCAACTCCGCCCCTCTCCCTCGTTTCTACATTCCGTCAACATTCAGGAGGGAAAAAACACACAGACACAATTAATCCTCGATTCCCAGGAAAATATGCGAAAATATGGGAAGTGGGGGGGAAGACAGAAACCCAGAAAATATGGGAAAATATGGGGAATCATTTTATTTGTGTGTATTTATTTGTGTGTCCTGGGGCCCCTTCAAACATCTTGGCTCGAGGTTCGCGCCCAGGTTGGCCTCGTTTCTGCCCCCTGCGACTGGCCGGTCGCTCGTGACCCGCTGGCCTTCGAAACTGGCCGAGG